TGGGGTCAACACATTAGTCAATTCCCACAGGATTGACCACATAGTGCTCTAATAGTATACCAATATACAGTGAGTAGGTATCTAAGCAATGGAAAGTATGAAGGGGCGATCAGAGACAGTATTAAAATTACTATGAATTAAGGAAAACTCATTCAAATACTAAACTAAAATCTCACATGCATGAGTAAGATGCTTTTACATATAAGACATTCTTGCACAATTAGAAAACGTATACATAATTGTGACATTCTCAGTGACTTGATATGAAACTCTTTCTGTCTCCTCTTGAAATTAACTTGGCCTATCATGAGGTAAAAATTAGAAGGAGGTCTTATTATTAGTTTGAGAGGAACAATATAAAAAGCAAAGAAAATGGGACCTGTGAAGGAACCTTGGGGCACACCACAAGACAGAGTTACACATTAGAATGCAATTTACAGAAGCAGCTGAGAAACTATCCCAGAGATAGAGCAAGAAGAAGTTAATTAATTTAGAATACTATGATCTCCAACGTGAGCAGCACTCACAAACAGTTCCAAAATAGATGACTGTCCTGTCTCACTGTGCATTAAGATGTCACTCAAGGCTGCAAACAGCTGTTTCAGTGAAGTGCAGCAGACAAAAGCAAGACTGAAACCTATTGCATGCTTTGGCATTCCCTTCCTCAAACCTTAGTATTAAAAGGGTATTTAGAAATAGGCCAGTACTTCTACTGCAGTATCTCTCTGCTTGTGCAGCCCTTGCCAGCAGGATCCCTCTTTATTAAATTAATCCTACAGCTTGCTGCATGTGCTTAATTACTTGACAGCCAAGCTCATATCATTAAAATCACTCACTGGGAGCTATGGACTACCGTGGAGCCATGTTAAATACAGTGTGTGTGTGTGTGTGTGTGTTAGAAGGGGTTTAAAGAGTATGTTTTATGTCAATTATTTCTGTATATTCCCCCACAGGCCTGCTTAGCTGGGGCAACCCATTTGGATATGTTGTCAAACAATTGCTAACACAAAATGTAATTATAGGCAGAACATACAATGACCACAAAAGGCTGCTGTGATTATGTTGTTATTCTTTGGTCTCACAAATACTATATTGAATGGTATTGTTGTTTCCAAGCATAAATTTACCATAATCTATTTTCAGTTGATGAAAAAATGTAACATGAATACTGTTAATAAAGTGAATCAGTGATTTTAAGAGATTTGAGACAGTATGTCCCACTGGATGAGCAGCATTTTACTTCCGTGTTATTGAACAGATTTACTTGTTTTGACTGTTTGTTG